TTTTTTTTTTTCTCTAATAAACAAGCTTGTTGTAATTAGCCAAGGTGTTGAAAAATTTAGAAATATTGGCATATAGTTTTGTTGTTGGTAAAGTAGTCAAACAATGGTAGCAGGTCAGCAGCAGCTCCAAGCATTTTCGTTATCAACTAGGAATCCAAGTGCAGATAAGAAGCACAATCGGTCGATATCAGATCTTAGTGATCCTTCAACCCCCCGACATTTTGAGGACTTGCGTAAGAACGCCCTCCTCTATACTCACGTCATTTCTTTTACTCTCTTTGAGCTGGAGACCATCACCAAGAGCTTCCGTTCTGATTACATTCTTGGAGAGGGCGGTTTTGGTACTGTTTACAAAGGTTACATTGATGAGAATGTTAGGGTTGGACTCAAATCTCTCCCGGTTGCTGTCAAGGTGCTCAATAAGGAAGGTCTTCAAGGTCACCGCGAGTGGCTGGTGAGCTTTTTTACCTCTCCATTTTTCCTCATTTTCTAACTTGTAAATGTCTTAGTATATCTCCCTCTCTATAAATATAGCTGTTGAACATGTAATTACACTGTTTCAGACAGAGGTCAATTTCCTTGGACAGCTCCGACATCCTAATTTAGTTAAGTTGATTGGATATTGCTGTGAGGATGATCACAGGTTACTTGTCTATGAGTTCATGTTCCGAGGAAGCCTTGAGAATCATCTTTTTCGAAGTATGCGTGTTCTTTCCAAATAATACTTGGTTATTGTTTCTGCTCGTTCTACTCATTATTGGATTTGTTGAAACCTTTGCTTGCTTTATCAGTTATGAACACTATGGATGTGGACAAAGAAAAAAAAAAGCCTAAAATGTCGCCGCTGGTGTATCTATTCTTAGTTGACTCAGGATGCGAGTTTTTACTTGGGGAGACTTTCAACGACTGTTAATTGTGTCTTCTTATAGGATCCATATTTGATTTCTTGGCCTGATGGTTTTAATTCAATCATGACATTAGTGGAGATGCTATTGTTTGTTATATGTTGGTGTCAGAAAAATTGGGCCATGGGCTCTTTTGTTTCCTTCTCCAATTGCTTTTGATTCCTTTTGTTTTATGCTTCTTCGGCCTTAGTGGAAGCGTTTTAGAATTTCTGATTGGAACACATTTTATTGGGCTTTCTTCCCGTTTTGTTTGGATTGTCCATTTCTTATTACTGGGTGATACCCTGTGTATTTCTACTGTTTTATTTTTGGCAATGAAAGCTTCACACAGATACACACACATACACACTGAGTTACTAATTTCATGAACTCACTGGCACAACACTTGTAATGATTTTTTATTTGCATATGTACCTGTAATAGCTTGCAAGTAAAAATATTATTAACGTGAGATTCATAGGTGCATAATTCTCGTATCTCCTAGTGTCGTTCCTTCCTTATTCTGTATGCCTTTTCAATTCTTTTTGTCATTTTAATCTGATGTGTTTGAACTTGTTAAATGCCTTATGATTATATGCTTATAATATCTTTGCCCACTTCTTGTTGATGTGCTTATTCTTTCCAGCATACAAGTTGAATGAATACTGTGTTGCTTTTAATATGAAGCTTTATTTATCTATTTTAATCATTTATGAGTACAATCTTGACCTGGAATTTTCTGGGGAATCCAGAAGCAACTGTTCCATTATCTTGGTCAAGAAGGATGATGATCGCTCTTGGGGCAGCTAAAGGGCTAGCTTTCCTTCATAATGCTGAAAGGCCAGTTATTTACCGTGACTTCAAAACATCTAATATTCTGCTGGACTCAGTAAGTGATATGATTTAATCAAAATCATTCTTCAAAATTTCTGTATCTGTTTTTTGGCTGAGGGCTTTTGCACCTTACATTCTGCCAACTCTCTTTTATCACAGGATTATATGGCCAAGCTCTCTGATTTTGGGCTTGCAAAAGCAGGGCCACAAGGTGATGAGACCCATGTATCCACTCGAGTGATGGGTACCTATGGATATGCTGCCCCTGAATATGTAATGACTGGTACGAGCTCAACTTGTTTTATTGCCTTGGATCTGTGTCATGCACGCATCATCCCAGCTCGTAAACTAGAATCAGCAAGTGATGTGAAACTTCATAATGGATAAAGACGACGAGAAAAATCGAAATCATCTGTTAGAGTAAAAATCAAGTCATTCGTAATTCTTTCATTTTATTTATTGCACCCGTAGACAAATCAGAATGCGTAAATATCAGTCATGCATGTAGATGATTTTGCAGTTATGTTTCTATGTTTAATATCATCAATTAACACAATGCATGAGCAGGGCACCTTACTGCCAGGAGTGATGTGTACAGCTTTGGCGTAGTTCTTCTGGAGCTTTTGACCGGCAGAAAATCTGTGGACAAGACGAGGCCAAGCAAGGAACAAAGTCTGGTCGACTGGGCAAGGCCAAAGCTAAATGATAAGAGAAAAATGCTGCAGATAATAGACCCACGGTTAGATAATCAGTACTCAGTAAGGGCAGCTCAGAAAGCTTGCAGCTTGGCATATTACTGTCTAAGCCAAAACCCGAAAGCTCGACCCTTGATGAGTGATGTCGTTGAAACCTTGGAGCCCTTACAATGCAGTGGTGGAAATGAAGTAGCGATGACATCATCATCGACATCATCATCATCATCTACTTCCACTCTTCTGTGTAGTGGTGGAGGCAACAATCCATTTAAAATGTCGACAAATTATAATCGCACTGCTGTCAGAACTGTCTGTCGATCGTCTAATCCAAATTGCTCCCCTGCAGCAGCAGCAGCTTGTCGGGTTAGATGAGAATAAAGGTATTAATGTGTATTTGTGTCTTCACTTAACAAAGATTGTTGATTGGGAAAACGATGCTTTTTTTTTTTTCGCTCATGTTTGTTGCTAATAGTTTTGTTGTGATGTTTAACTTCTTCAGTTATGTCATGTGTGTGGGTGTTCATATGTATCTTTGTTTTAACTTTCAGATGCTATTCGAAAATCCTTTCATCATCCATAGTCTCTCTTTTTTATTAGATGTCATGTGAGAATTTCTTTTTCTTACGTCTCTTTAAATCAATTTATTTTTGTCTCGGATGAACATATTACTATAGAATACTAGGAAATGTTTGTTTTAAGGAAATCATGGTTATTATTGTTATTATTATATGTGAGATTCTTATTAAATTATAGTTTACATTTATATATATATTATGGCAAATGATAAGTTGGCCCTTAATTGGATGTTCTAATTATATATGTTCGGATTTAATTTTCTTTGTCGATCAACTCAATCACAGACTAATGATTAGACATGACAAACATTTTCTTATACGAGCAGATAGTTGAAGGTATAAATTGATCTAAAAATTGTTATATACGAGAAAATTCTATGCATGATCTTGAGGTAAACAATAACAGGTTAGTAAAGATGTCAGCCATTCACAATATTGTTTTAAATACTCGTTTGAAAATTTTATTATCAGTTTTATTTTAAATGACCTCATGTGTTACATGAGACAATGGTATTTCTTAGTCTAACATTAGTGCGAACACAAGGTTAGTCAAACTATAATATATATATATATATATATATATATATTATATATATAATAATATATTTTTGTCTCACTCACTAACTCACATCATATACCATTGCATATCAATATTATCCATCCATTAAGAAATAACATTTCATAACGATACTATCCATCAACATTAAGCTTCTCACGTATATAATATATACAATATTGCATATCATTATTATCCGTTAAGAATCATGTATTTCAACACTTGAAGAAGAAGAAGAAGAAGAAGAAGAAAAATAAAATTAATAATTTTCGTACCCATTCCATTATTGTATGTGTTTTGTTTGTTTTTCCTAATAATAAGGTAACTAAAAAGAGGATAGTTAGTTGGTTACGAAATGTGAGCTCAGATTCATTAGTTTCCAACTTCTTTACTCTGACCATCCATCAAATAACTGACATCCTTGAATACCTTGCAGATAGATTCTTTCTTTCTTTCTTTCAACTTTCTTTTGATCCAAAAAACAAAAAACAAAAAAAAAAAGGATGTGAATCAATATTACCAAGTCTGATCGTTGGCAATGGCGTATAGGAGGAGGCAAGGAGGGATGGGAAGATCATCGGATATGATGTCATTAGAGGCCGTTGCTGACCACACATCATCATCATCTCTAGCGGCACAAGCCATTATGGCCCATCGTGTAATTAATTATAAGCTTTTCATTAATTAATTACTCATACACAGATGATCGAGTAACTTATTATTATTTACGTACACATGATATATCTATCTAATTTGATGTCATTGAAAACTAAATATAGGGAGGTCCTACCTATGACTATACATCAATGGGAAGTTCAAATGAGGCAGGCAGCTTTTGGGGTGTTCTTGCAAGAAAAGCAAAAGAAATTCTTGATGATGATAATAATAATAATAATAATAATAATAATAATGTTCCATATCAATCTGAGTATCTTAACCCTGAAAGAGTACAAGATATAATAACAACAAACTATTCATTAAAGACTGATCAGGTTATTACATTTCCCTTTTCTTTTTTTCTTTTTTTGACTAGCTAGTAAGTTTTTGATATATATATTGTTTGATATATCTCATTATTGTTTTAGGATGAGAACTGTAACAAGTCGGATAATCCGACTCTGCGTAAGAAACTCGACGCGCTAACATCTTCCATGAATCGCATTGGGGACACCATTGGAAATGCATTGGAGGTAATTTAATTAGTTGAATAATATTGCAACAAAATTATGCCTATCCGTATTCAATATATTTTTACCTTAAATAAATAGAATGTGGTACAGTTAATTTAACATGCTATATATGTTTGTTTGTTTTCAGGAAGGGCGCACAATTGTTGAGAACAAGACTGCCGATTTTATCCAAGAAACACGCAAAATGCAGATAAGGAGAAAAGAAAATTACAATGAGGGAGGCCCAGGGAAACTCTCAATGCAATCGCCTTACAACCATACCAGCCAGGAAGATATGCTTAAGGCATCTCGAGACGTAATGTGGCCACTGTATGAAGTTGTGTTGTGTATATATCTACAAATTCATGCACCAAACAGATTATTTTATAACAACTAATAATAAAGTCCTATGTTAACTATCAGAAAAAATAAAAATAAAAATTGTTCTTCTATGTTTAGGACAAGAAAAATACTTCTTACCTCTAGTTTTATTGAGAGAACGCGAGTTTTAATTAAAAAATTTAGTTGCACAATGTTTGATGTAGTGTAGATACTTGGATGCATTATATGACCATCAATTAGACTTTTTTGTGTGATTTTGAAGTGTTGATGATCCCTTTACTTTGATGAGCATTGAAAGGCTTCTATATGTTTGTTTTGGCTTTATATATATCTAACAGGTGGCAATGGCGACTGCAGCAAAAGCAAAGCTGCTTCTACGAGAGTTGAAAACAGTTAAAGCAGACTTGGCATTTGCAAAACAACGGTGTTCTCAATTAGAAGAAGAGAATAAAATTCTTAGAGAGGCTCGTGAGAAGGGAGTTAATCCTGCTGATGACGACATGGTACATACTACATAATTGTAATTTCTTTTTATAAATAAATAAATTTAGCTCTTTGAGAACCAAACAAAGAAAAAAAACTCTGACAAGTGAAAAAAATGTGCGACCAGATTCGGCTCCAGCTAGAGACATTGTTGGCAGAGAAGGCTCGGTTGGCACATGAGAATTCAGTGTATGCACGTGAGAATAGGTTCTTGAGGGAGATAGTTGAATACCATCAGCTTACAATGCAAGATGTCGTTTACTTGGACGAGGGAATTGAAGAGGTTACAGAAGTTTTTCCGGTGATGTCGAGGATACTCTCGGAAGGACCTTCCCCAACAATGTCTCGAAATTCATCTACCAATAATCTCTCAAGAACCTCTTCTATTGTTGATTTGCTCTCACTCTCCGCACCAAAAGCAGAATAATAATAGTAATAATTATAATGACCGCTCGTAATTCCTAAATAGTTAATTACAATACAAGTTTCAACAAAAAATCTTTGTTCATGTCTATGTTTGTTTTGTTTTTTGATTATTCATTAGTTGTAATATTTTTGTTTTCTTTTCAAAGTTTCCATCTTTTAGTTGACAACATGTCGAGATTCCTTTGGAATCCCTTGGCATGAGATTTGATCATTAAGTTAATATAGTACATTGTGCTAATTAAGTTAATGAGTGAAGAATTTCATGTGTTTGCCTTGGAGCATGCAAGAGCAGCACGTCCGTACATGGCGGCTGTAGATATGAGAATTTGGGAAATGATTTCCATATCATCTTGGAACTCAACATGTACAATATATATATATATATTGTATATATATATATATATATAGGGAGTGGTTCAAATAAAAACCTCTTCTGGTGTGAGAACCGTGAGAACCATATTTGATGCTATTTTTAATTGTGTATGATGCTATTTTTAATCTTACATGGTGCTATCATTTTTACAAATGCTAAGTTGCTATTTTTAATAAAATACATCCTGATTAAAAATAGCACTAAATACAATCAATCATAGCACTACATACAATTAAAAATAGCAGTTCTCACGGTTCTCACGCTAGGACTTGGTTCTCATTTGAACCACATCCTATATATATATATATATATATATATATATATATATATATATATATATATATGCTCCTAACATAGCCCTAGACTAGTAAGTCAACAATCAAAGAAAACAAAATAACTCTACTGTGGACCCATGCATGCAAAGGTGTACAAAAAGCCAAAGATAAAATTAGTCTTCTTGGACATATATTGACTGATCTTATTCACACTATAGGCTAGTTCTGGTCTGGTTATAGTGAGGTATTGTAAGCCTCCTACTATGCTTCTAAAAAGAGTTCCATTAGAGATGTCCTTCCTTTCATATTTGCTGAGGTGAGTGGTGGTTGCCATAGATATGGCCACTCATTTAGCACCTGTCATTGAAGCTTTGTGTAAAAGATCCTGGGCATACTGCTTTTGACATAAATGGATTCCATCTGCAGTCCTTTTGATTTCAATACCCAAAAAATGGTGCAATTCTCCCATGTCTTTGAGAGATAAATTTTTCCTCAGTAGAGCGATGATCTTAGTCACTTCTTTTTCATCATTTCCAGTGATTAAGATATCATCTACATAAATTAAGAGGTAGATTGCTGCTCCATTATCAAACTTGAAAAATAATGAACTATCTGCCCTAGAACAATTGAAACCTAATCCTTCAAGAGTAGATTTTACCTTTAAAAACCAAGCTCTTGAGGCTTGCTTCAAGCCATATATGGATTTGGTAAGCTTGCAAACCAATGGTGTTTCAGATTCATGTTCAAAACCTGGAGGCTGCATCATATATATATTCTCATAAAGCTCACAATTGAGGAAAGCATTGTTGATATCAAGTTGCCTCACTTTCCAGCCTAAGGTAGTGGTCATGGTCAGGAACACTCTTATTGTAGTATGCTTCACCACTGGGCTGAAAGTCTCTTGAAAATCAAATCCTTTGACTTGTGAGAAGCCTCGTGCTACCAGCCAAGCTTTATGCCTACTAATCATCCCATTAGCATCCCTTTTTATCTTGAATACCCATCTGCAGCCCACAATGTTTGTACCTTGTGGTGGTGGAGTCAGTAACCATGTTTTGTTCTTCAGAAGAGCTTCATACTCATCTCTCATGGCTTTCTTCCAATTTTCAATTTCAAAGCTTCAAGAAGGCTGCTTGGTTCCTTTTCTTCAACTATTCCTGCCAAGGCTCTTGGCCTTAGAATTCTAGCTTTAAGCCTTGTCACCATATGATGTCTATTTTGATCTCTCTGAGGTTGAATGAATGTAGTGGAAGTTGGTGTCCTTGGAGCTGAGATTGGCAAATTAACATATATAGGGACTGTACTATTGCTTCTCACACTCTGTGAGTCTTCTGGAGTAGAGTTCTCAGTTCCATGTTGGTTTGTTGGACTTTGATCTTTCTTTTGCTGAAACATATACATCCTTTTCCCTCTAAGGGTGGACTTCCAATAGCATTTTGAGGAGGTGTGCTTTGTGCATTGGTACTATGCTCAACATCCTTAGCAAAGGGAAAATTCTTTTCATTAAAGACAACATGCCTTGAGATCATTACCTTCCCATTTGGAAGAAGCACTTTATACCCCTTATGAGAATTGTTGTAGCCAGTGAAGGTAGAAGGTTGTGACCTCATTTCCAGTTTGTTCTTGTTGAAGCTCCTTAAGTGTGGAAAGCACAAACAACCAAACAACCTTTAGATCTGTGGAACTCTATTTATGATATAGCAAGTTGTTACCACAGCATCATCCCAGAATTTTGTTGCCAAATGAGACTGAGCCAATAAGGTTAATCCCATTTCTATGAGGTGCTTGTGCTTCCTCTCAGCCACACCATTTTGTTCTGGTGTGTGTGTGCAGGAGACTCTATGAATAATGCCATTATGCTGAAGAAAAGAGGTTAGTGATCTAAACTCACCTCCCCAATCACTTTGAAAAACCTTCAGAGATGTATCGAACTGCTTCTCTGCCAAGTTTTTAAAATGCAGAAAAATATCATGAACTTCTGATTTTCGCTTCATAAAGTAAACCCAAGTGAATTTATTGTAATGATCAATGAAGCACACATAATAAACATAGCCATTATTAGACTTCAAGGGTGCTGGCCCCACAGATCAGAATGAACAAGATATTGAGAATACTCAGTGCTTGAATAATCAAAAGGTAGTTTGGGGCTCTTAGCCACTGCACAAATAGAATATAAATTGTTGTCTTTATTTAATTCAGAAGACAAATTACAAGATCTTAAGGCTTTCTCTACTACATCATATGCAGTGTGCCCTAATCTCTTGTGCCATAGTTCTAAACCAGGCTTTCTTGGAAAAGTAGCTGCATTTGCCACAGGTAAGATAACTTCATGGTGATGATCCACAGATTCTTTATCATCTCTTGTGAGGTGTAGGTTGAACTGGTATAAACCTTCACTGAGTTTCCCTTGGAGTAGAACAGCCTGAGTTGCTTGGTCCTTCACAAAACAAACAGTGAGATGAAATTCAAAGTATACATCATTGTCCCTTGCAAATTGAGAGACTGACAATAAATTGTTAGTTACACTTGGCACATGAAGGAGGTTATTTAGAGCAAATATTCTGGAGTTCATTTTTTATTTCATATAGCTTGTGTTAATGTGATTTATGGACTCACCAATGCCATTTCCCATTTGCAGCTTGTTGCTGCCAAGATACTCATTTGAAATACTTAAGTTGGAAAAATCATTAGTAACATGGTTGGAAGCACCTGAATCAGGATACCAAAGTCCACTGTCCAAGCCAATCTCAGATGTAGTTGAGGAATTACCACCTGATTGAACCATGTTGAGAGTTGGTTGCACATTGTTCCTGTTCTGAAAGTTGTTTGGTGCTTGTTGCTAATTTGGAAAAAAAGACTGATCAAATCTATGCCAACATCTATCAGCAGTGTGACCCATAATACCACAGACTTGGCATTGAACCTTATTTTGTTGGAACCTTCCTTCCCTTCCTCTAAAAGAACCTCTTCTTCCAGATATTCCTCTCCAATTGTTGAATGTAGGAGCTCTGCCTCTGTTGCTTGAAGAGTTTGCTTGAAAAGAGTTGTTGGAATCTTTTGAGGCAACATTCAGTGTGGGTTGAGAGCCATCAGAGTTAACTTGGTGGACATTGGTGGTCAAGAAATCCATTCTTGACTCATAGCTCAAAAAGCAAAGCTTGGAGATCAATCACTGACTATGGCTCTAGTCTAGAGGTAACAGCAACCATGATATAGTTATAATCTTGTCCAAGTCCACTGAGAATATGTAAGATTTGATCTGACTCTCTTACCCTTTCTCCAACAGCAGCTAAAAGATCAAAGCATGTTTTCATTTTATTCAGATACTCTCTCATAGTCATGTTTCCCTTTTTCATTGTTTGCAGTTCAAGTTTGTGTTGCATTATCCAGGCTATGGACTGGCTAGCAAAGTTTATTTCAAGAGCATTCCATATTTCCTTTGAGGTAGAAAAACCAACAACAAGAACAAGTATACCTTGACTAAGAGAAGATAAGATCCAAGAGGCTAGTAGTTGATCTTGTCTCTGTCATATCTCATATTCAGGGTTGATGATAGGGAGATTTCCTTCTTCTGGTGGGATGAAGCGTGTTGGAGGGTCTGCTGTGGGAGAGATGAAAGATTCTAGTCCATATCCTCTGATAGCAGTAAGAATCTGCTGTTTCCAAATAAGGAAGTTTGAATCTTCAAGCTTGATGGAAATAAGCTGTGACTGAGGGAATATGAGCTGATTGGATGCTGTACTCGAATTTGTAGAGGTCGAGATCCCAGATGAAGGGGTAGCAAAATCCATGGAAATGAAATAACAGAAAATCGAAAAGAAAAATAGATATGGGAGGAGAAGGAAGGATTATGGCTCTGATGCCATGAAGAATTTCATGTGTTTGCCTTGGAGCATGCAAGAGCAGCACGTCCGTACATGGCGAATGTAGATCTGAGAATTTAGGAAATGATTTTCATATCATCTTGAAACTCATCATGTACAATATATATATCTATGCTCCTAACATAGCCCTAGACTAAGTCAACAATCAAAGAAAAACAAAATAACTCTACTGTGGACCCATGCATGCAAAGGTGTACAAAAAGTCAAAGATAAAATTAGTCTTCTTGGTCAATATGGATTTCTTCATGTATTTCTTCAATGAGCATGTAACTAATTAAGATTGAGCGTTCTTGCATGGTTAAATTCATTTGTTTCTAACTACCAACTTTTATTGGGTAAAACATTTTTTTTGCAATATGTGTCTGTTTTTTGGACTCCATATCCCATAATATTTTTACTTTTTTTGGTTTAATGTAATCTAATATTCATGAACATTAATAATTTTCAACATCGATTAGTGAGATGTGGCATCCCAAATAATTTTTGCATGTTAAAATGCCAAATCAGCTTGTCTTTTAAGAATTAAATTAGCATCAAACTGGTCAAAAGTCTGCTTCACTAACTCTGTGTCCCACCTTCGACTGTAATATCCCATTAAGT